TGTTTGTGACTAAGTGGCTACTAAAAAGACTGGACATAACCCATATTGAATACCCTGGGTTGTCTACTTTAAAAAAATATGTACATGTAAGGTGTGATTCAGATATTTATGAAAGATAACAGTATTACAATGTCACTATTGATACATTTTACAAATATATATTTTGAAACAGAAATGTCCTACTTGAACTTATAGCCCTATAACTTGCAAAAAAAAAAAAAGCTAAGAATATGTTAACATTGGGTATTTCTAAACTCAGGACATAATTTAGAAATTATATAGCATGGGTGTCTTTTGGTGGTTGTAGATGCGTAACAGATTTTGGGGTCAAAGTTAGAAAAAGTGCAGGACTTATTTTTGTGTATTTGTATACATAAAAAGGACCAGAGCAAGAGTCATACAAAATCTGTTTACCCATTTTGAATTCAGCAAGATTTCTTTTGGGGTTTTTATTAGCTATTAGGCTAGTGGCAGGCTTAGTATAGATTGTTGATTTCTCTCTCTCTATAGATTGTTGATTTCTCTCTCTCTCTTAGTATAGATTGTTGATTATCTGTAGCTTAAAATTCAAATTAACCTTATTAATTCTAATGCTCTCTTACAGTGTTTAATTTTATCTGAAGTTGTTTTTGTCAATGTGTGTAGTTTAACCATAGGTCAAATCTCTAATTCACCATTACTCTTGGCTATGAATATTCTTAAACATTATGAAACAAAGGAAATAATACAAACAACTGGAGAGAATTTACGTATTTTTTTGCTTTATTTCATATTAAGAAAAATATTACAGAGGTTGATCCCTGGACACATGCCTTAATGACACAATGTCAAATGATCAATGGGAATGTACTGAACGTGTCACTGTGACTGCCGTAGGACATCCATTGAAACATTAATATCTAAATTGAGTCTTTAGATGCAGACTGTAGTAAGAGTGAAACTAAAATGTGATCTATTTATAAGAGAACTACCCAGTTACAGTAATTAATGCATTCCTAGAAATAGCTTCAGGTTGCCTACACATATTTGGCATTCATGTCTATTTAAAAAAGACAAGTAATACCACGTAATCTCCAAAATCTTTTATCCACCAATCTTTCTGTAAAGTGTAAAGTAGCAAAAATAAATACATATTTAAAATAAGTGTGTATAAATTGCTAACAGTCTCTTTACAAAATTAATATTTGATCTTACATTTTTGTGCCAACTACATACACCATGTTTTCAAATACAATATTATGTTATTTTTTCTAAAACTAAAAGAATTTGGTTTTGAAGGTGATAAAAATGTGCCTTGATCATTTACTACAAGCATGTCAAACTGTGTGAATATATTTGCGGCCTGTCTGCTTCTTGTCTTTCCTCCCACGGCCACAAGAGGGCAGAGTGTCTGTCTGTCTGCAGTGCAGCAGCCACTCCTCCTTCCCTCCTGCTTGCAGTGCCAGACTAACTGGAGGACCACTCTACACCCCAAAAGCACTTCAGCTTGCTGAAGTGCTTTTTGGGTGCGGAGTAGACTAGTTTAATCCCAGTCTATAAAATGAGCTTTTTAAATTCGCTCTTTTGTTTACTTTAAAGCTTTACGAGCGTAAGGACATCCATTGTCAGTTACGCAACTTTTTTATACTGTACTTTTGGAAATAAACCTATGTTTCTTTTTGAAAACTGAAGTTTTTGTTGTTTTGCGGCCCACATGAACTTAAATCTTGTTTATTTGGCCCGTGCTAGCATTTGAGTTTGACATGCATGATCTACTATGATAGACTTATGATTGAAGTGATCATGGTGTCTGGAGTTTGTATGTGCAGCTTTTCAGTATGAACTGCTGCACATACAGTGTGGAACCCCTCTGTTGCCGGAGTTAAAATATTGTGGCATCATGAGTTCCACGTGGCTGATGTTAATTCTATGCATCTTTGATACCTGTCTTTAGCAAGCATAGTATGCTGGTGACGTTCCACCAATGGTGGCATGCCACTAACAAATGTCCTCCCCTTAGCCAACCTCCCCTACATCCCTACCTCTCCATCAGGCTGCATGGAGATCTTGGCATATGCATTGGACTGAAGTGAGTATTTTTTACCATTATTTTATTGCAGGTTGGGCCAGGATAGGAAGGATTA